GGTTTGACCACCCCCGGGTTAGCCCCCCCATATTGAGAATTTTAACAAAAGATTATTCCATTTGTTAGATCTTTGTTAGATCAGGTTTGATCAACAATTTTTTTCGTTAGATCTACTCTAAAATATGCGATATTAACAATCATTGTCAGGGGGGGCTAACCCGTAGCCAGCCCCCCCTCAACAAAAATTTGGAGAAAATGTTGTTGATTACGATAGCTCTACGTTAGATCAGGTTTGATCAGGCAAAATTTTTGTTTGATCTAGTCTAATTACTGAGATATTGCATATATAATTAGGGGGGGCTAGCCCCCCCTCAACTGAAATTTGGACAAAATGTTACTGATTTTGGTAGCTATTCGTTAGATCAGGTTTGATCAACTGTTTTTTTCGTTAGATCTATCACGCAAGAGGCGGTATTCCCTACTTAACTTTGTGGGCGTGACTACGGGTTAGCCCCCCCTCAAGTGAAATTTGAATTTTTTTTTTATTGATTTTGGTAGATATTCGTTAGATCAGGTTTGATCAACTGTTTTTTTCGTTAGATCTATCACGCAAGAGGCGGTATTCACTACTTAACTTTGTGGGCGTGACTACGGGTTAGCCCCCCCCTCAAGTGAAATTTGAATTTTTTTTTATTGATTTTGGTAGATATTCGTTAGATCAGGTTTGATCAACAATTTTTTTCGTTAGATCTATCACGCAAGAGGCGGTATTCACTACTTAACTTTGTGGGCGTGACTACGGGTTAGCCCCCCCTCAAGTGAAATTTGAATTTTTTTTTATTGGTTTTGGTAGATATTCGTTAGGTCAGGTTTGATCAACTGTTTTTTTCGTTAGATCTATCACGCAAGAGGCGGTATTCACTACCTAACTTTGTGGGCGTGACTACGGGTTAGCCCCCCCTCAAGTGAAATTTGAATATTTTTTCATTGGTTTTGGTAGATATTCGTTAGATCAGATTTGATCAACTATTTTTTCGTTAGATCTATCACGCAAGAGGCGGTATTTACTACTTAACTTTGTGGGCGTGACTACGGGTTAGCCCCCCCTCAAGTGAAATTTGAATTTTTTTTTATTGATTTTGGTAGATATTCATTAGATCAGGTTTGATCAACTGTTTTTTTCGTTAGATCTATCACGCAAGAGGCGGTATTTACTACTTAACTTTGTGGGCGTGACTACGGGTTAGCCCCCCCTCAAGTGAAATTTGAATTTTTTTTCATTGATTTTGGTAGCTATTTGTTAGATTAAGTAAGATCAACTGTTTTTTTCCGTAAGATCTATCACGCAAAAGGAGGTATTTACAATCTTATTTTAATTTTGCACATAAATACCAGTAAATTTTCATATCAAGCCACAGGTGACATCATAATTTAGGAATTTGCTTGGATTTGCTAACACAATGTGTAGATCATTTTCAAATTTTTTTTTTTTATTCTCTACATGCACAGTATTGAGGTGATAAAGTCCAGCATATGCCCAGTCTGAACGTATTAGTGATATTTGAATACAGTTGCAAGAAAAAGTATGTGAGCCCTTTGGAATGATATGGATTTCTGCACAAATTGGTCATAAAATGTGATCTGATCATCATCTAAGTCACAACAATAGACAATCAGTCTGCTTAAACTAATAACACACAAATAATGAAATGTTGCCATGTTTTTATTGAACACACCATGTAAACATCCACAGTGCAGGTGGAAAAAGTATGTGAACCCCTAGACTAATGACATCTCCAAGAGCTAATTGGAGTGAGATGTCAGCCAACTGGAGTCCAATCAATGAGATGAGATTGGAGGTGTTGGTTACAGCTGCCCAGGTCAGGAGTAATTCTTGACCATTCCTCGTTACAGAACTGTTTCAGTTCAGCAATATTCTTGGGATGTCTGGTGTGAATCGCTTTCTTGAGGTCATGCCACAGCATCTCAATCGGGTTGAGGTCAGGACTCTGACTGGGCCACTTCAGAAGGTGTATTTTCTTCTGTTTAAGCCATTCTGTTGTTGATTTACTTCTATGCTTTGGGTCATTGTCCTGTTGCAACACCCATCTTCTGTTGAGCTTCAGCTGGTAGACAGATGGCCTTAAGTTCTCCTGCAAAATGTCTTGGGAATTTGGGAATTCATTTTTCCTTCGATGATAGCAATCCGTCCAGGCCCTGACGCAGCAAAGTAGCCCCAAACCATGATGCCCCCACCACCATACTTCACAGTTGGGATGAGGTTTTGATGTTGGTGTGCTGTGCCTCTTTTTCGCCACATATAGTGTTGTGTGTTTCTTCCAAACAACTCAACTTTGGTTT